CTGTTGGCTCCTAACCACCTGCCTGCCTGCCTGCCTGATTGCCCCTAACCACTCTGCCTGCCACCGTGATAGCCCCCTAACCACTTCCCTGCCAGCCTGATTGACACCTAACTACTTTCCTACTGGCATGATCACCCCCAACTGCCTTCCCCTGCAGGGCTGAGGGAACTGGGGGACTGAGGCTGGATGAGGCAGGGCTGAGAAGACTGGGCGTCACCATCTTGTGGCTGTGGGCACCGTCATCTTGCATGGCAGTCAATTAGCATATTTCCTCTTTATTGTCTGTGGGCACTGCCTTTTTGTGATGGCATGATTATCTAATTAGAATATTCCCTCTTTATTAGATAGAATGCTAGAAAATATATTACCTCTTCAATAAAATCACCATTAGAAATATTTTTAGGGGATTTCCATACCAAAAATTATTGGTTCTAAAACACACTAACATTTAAAATATACATAGTGTGGCTGTGTTGTACTCAAATCACAAAACATAAATCAGGATGAAAACCTAGTGTGCTCATAAGAAGAAATGTTATGATTGCCTATATCACAGACTGGAGGTTTTTTTTGTTGTTTTTTTTAAGTTATAATTCTTATGCTTAATTACCTAAAATCTGCTACAAGCTGCTATGACCCCTTTAAATGTGTGTGTAAATTAAAAGATGCTTAAATTTTTTAAATAAATTTTCTATTACTTCATTTTAGGTAAGTCCTACCTGTAGCATGATAAAATATTCTTAGAAGGGATTGATAGCATATTAAACAACAAAAGAAATAATTGCTTAATATACCTAGAGACACATGGATACTAGTAGTTAATGTGTAATAGTTAATAATGATCTGTTGAACATTCTTATACAAAGTAGGCATCATTAAAGCAAAACCAATATTTGCTCAAACTAAAAGTACAATAATAACACATGCAACTCCCAAATGGTAACACTGTGAAATCAAGGTAAGTGAAAGGCCTTCTATTCCATTAACTTGAGAAAATTAGAAAAGGTATAGATGGGTACTGTTGTTGGGGTTTACCTGTGGCTTAATTCTAGTAATGCTAGTCAGTTAATTTAATATCTATTCATTATCTATCCTCAGTTTTATCATTAATACAAAGAGAATAAAGAAACAACCACGAAAATTGTGACTAAAACTAATCACTGCCTAGATACTTGCACATTCTCCCACTAAAAGTGCATCACTTCTTTTATAAATTATTTTAAAACAAACTGAACTACAACAAAGCATGCCAAAAATAGAATACAATCATATACAAAAAACATCTCTTCTGTTTATGACACTTCAGAATGATCTCGTCACCATCTAACCTGTGATGTTTTCTCTGTCTTCGTCAGAGAAATTACTCTGATAATTTCTATCATTGCACCTATATTATTGATTATTTACTTTCTTTTTTGTTTCTTCCCATTGGACTGAAAAGCAGAAAACTATGAATGTTTTAATCACCACAATATAACCACCTCCTTCTCAGGTACCACCACCTGGCTGGTGTGGCAAGGGATTGAGGGTCAGTCAAGCCATGAACCCGAGGTCAGGATTCAATTCCCAGTCAGGGCACATGTTCAATCCCCAGTAAGGGGCAGGCAGGGGGCAGTCGATCAATGATTTTCTCTCCATTGATGTTTCTCTTTCTCCATCCATCCTCTTTCTGAAATAATTTTTTTAAAAGATGCTCCCAAAATACTATTTAATTAATGTGAACAAGTGAATGTTTTTTATAGCTTACATGATTACCTAGGAACAAAGTCCAATAATAGCTTAATCACAGAATATGATTCCAGTAAAACAAGCTTACATCTTAATAAAAGAAATATGATTTAAAAATAGTTCTGTTCTTTAGTCTGTTAATATAGGTAATTACATTGATTGACTTGAATGGTGAACCAGCTATATAATACCAGGATAAACTGTTTGCATCAGAATATTTTATCCTTTTATATACTATTGGATTCTCTTTGCTAATATTTTGTTGAGGATTTTTACATCTATGTTCACAGAGGATATTGGCTTTCAGATTTTGTTATTATGGTTTGTCTGGTAATGCTGGTCATAAAATGAGTTGAAAAATGTCCCTCCTATTCGATATTTATGTTGAATTGGTCAATTAAATGATCATATCAAGAGATGCAGAAAAGTCATTTGAGAACATTCAATATTGATACATGAGTAAAAACTGTCAGCAAACTAAGAAGGGAACTTTCTTAGCTTGATAAAAAGCATCTACCAAAATCCTACAACTAACATCTTTTATGATGAAAGATCAAATGTTTTCCCCCTAACATCTGAAACAAGGCAAGGATGTTCTATCTCTAACCGTCCATGTTGTACTGAAGGTCCTAGCCAGTGCAATGAGATATAAAAGGCACATTGGTTGAAAAGTTAGAAATAAAACAGTCTGTTCATTGAGAATATGATTGTCTATATAGAAAATCACACAGCATCTAAAAAACAAACTATTAGAATAAGTAACTTTAGCAAGGCAGTAGGACACAAAATCAATATATAAAAACCAGTATCTTGAACTCTGTTGCCGAGATGGCACTCAACCCAACAGAATAGCATCTCAGACATGTCGAAAAAGATGTTTTGATCCCTAAAATAATGATAAAAGGCCCAAGAGAGATGTTCTGAACAAGTTCAAGATTTACCATATGTGCAAGGAATCTGGAATCCTTAGGTAGTAAAATGCTGGAAAGAAAATTCTGCATTGAAAGAATGTCCAATGGCTTACTACAATGATCCTACCTTTTATGAAGAATGCAACATGGAATGCCTGAAGGAAAAAGAAGAATTCAGAAAAACTGAAATTGCTATCAAGGCTTCAGAAGGTTCCAACAAACACATAGGCAAATATGCAAATGATACTCAGTAACTCTATTCATGGAAATCACAAATTACCCAAAATAATGGACACAAGAAAGTATATTTGCTTTATCCTTAATTTTGGAAATATTAATTTTATCTGAAATAAAGTTTCTTTTTTTTCATTAAAAAAAAAACAGTACTTCTACAAAAGTAATGGATGAGCTGGAACCGGTTTGACTCAGTGGATAGAGCGTCGGCCTGCGGACTGAAGGGTCCTGGTTCGATTCCGGACAAGGGCCTGTACTTGGGTTGCGAGCACATCCCCAGTAGGAGGTGTGCAGGAGGCAGCTGATCGATGATCCTCTCTCATCAATGTTTCTGACTCTCTATCCCTCTTTCTTCCTCTCTGTAAAAAATCAATAAAATATATATTTTTAAAAAGTAATGGATGATTAGAAATTAAAATTTTAAAATAGTATAACTTATAATAGCACCAAAAAATCACTAAACACTTGGGTATTAATCTAATAAAATATGTGTAATAGTTACATGCTGAAACTACCAAACACTGTTGAAACAAGTCAAATAAATTATGAGATATACCATCTTCATGAATTGCAAGACTCAATATTGTTAAGATGCTAATTTCCCCCAAAATGTAGTTATAGATTTGGGCACACATTCACCAACAAAATCACAATTAGGACTTTTGTGGAAATTGTCCAGCTGATTGTAAAACTTACATAGAAATGCAAAGTGACTAAAATAGCCTAAACAATTTTGAAAAATAAGACTTACTATAAAACTACAGTAATCAAAACAGTTTGGTATTGGTGAAAGAACAAACACACAAATCAATGGAACCCTAACACTCTCCAGATAGATGGTACACTGATTTTTCACAAAAGATGTACAACTAGTTTTGGATTAAGTCTAAGAGAAATATGCTTCTTTCCTATGGCATTAAAGTCAGAAGTTGCAAATACTGACTTCTGCCTAAAGATTACTCTCAGCTTATAAAGTAGTCAAAATGTGTTGGGGGGGGGGGGCAAAAAAATGAACAGCACATTTCAAAGGGGGTAATACAAAAGGAAATTAACATAGATAGGAAATGCCACCATTAGAATAATATAAAAGATATATGCTGGGTTTTAAGCTTTTTCTAGATTACTCAAGAGATGAGTTGGGGAAAATAAGTCCTTTCAAATGCATATAATAAACCTGAGGAAGACAACGGATTTGCTGCCAACGTTCAAAAGTGTGTATCTACTTTCTATCTATCTAAGTAGATCTGTCTATCTACTTTCATCATATAAGGAATTTTCTGCAAGCATTGAAAAACCAAAAGCCAATGAAGTGCGTGACAAACATTATTCTTTGGTGATGAGAATGAAGATGACGGGAGGAAAACTTTATAGGTCAAAATAAACTAAGGCGGCAATACAAAGTAAACTACCTGTTGAGAATGTAAGGCCAAAGAGACTTCGGAAAATGTAAAGTTTACACCTGGTAGCACTCATTCTTCCTTTCATGGAGTGGCTGGGGGATGTCCCCTCTTCCTCCTCGAACTGGACCCTCCCAAACCCAGACGAACTAGGTAGCAAAGAAGAATGTGGGGACCACTGCCCTGAGCTTTCTATAATAAAAGGAACTGAATGCCAGTTTTAAGAAACTGGCAGAGAAAGGGGGCGTGGCGGGGAAGAGAGGCGCCTGGCTGGGTCCGGAGATGACTGGGAGATGACTTCACGGGGCAGGAGGAGGATGACATTTACCAGGACCAGGACCGGGTGGGCGAGTTTACAAAGCTTGGAGTGTCAGGTAGAGCCGGCAAGTTAGTCACCCAGAAGGTACTTGGGGGTGGGAAAACGATGGGATCGGCGCGAGCAAGAAAGAAGGAAACCGAAGAAAACGAAGAGAGAAACGAGGAGCAGGAACACAGGGTGAACGAACATCCCTCCAACCCCGAGATGCAGGACACCTGACGACGGGGGGAATGGGACCACGGCGGGAGCCGGGCCAGCTGGGAGGACATCCAGGAGCCAGGTGGGAGGGAGGGAGGGAGGAAGGCGGCCGTGACACGGGCACACCCGCCGGGGGGACCCTCCGGGGCGGCGCGGCGGTGAAGACGGCCGGGGACGGCTCCAGGGTCCCGAGCGACCAGACGCCTCACTCACCTGGTTGGTGACCTGGAAACGAAACAGAGAACACGCTTTAGAGACAAACGGCCCCTGACCGGCGGCAGCAGCCCGGCTCCCCCCCGCCGGCCCCGCCGGCATCCCCAGGCCGAAATCCCAGCCGCGCTCACCTCGGGGTTGGCCTCCAGCGGCAGCCAGCGGTGGCGCTCCATGGCAGCTCCGCCCGGCCGCTCGCCAGCTCTGACAGCCTTTGCGGTCGCAGCGGCGGCCGCTTCCGCCTCGCGTGCCGTGACCTGGGACCGTCCAACCCTCCGCCCACCGGGGGGTGGGGAGTGCTTAAGGACGAAGAAGAGCTTGACAACACGCTAGCCCCTTTCTCGCTCCTGCTAAGCTTCGCTTACCTGGTAAGTTAAGGGACAATCGGAGAGGAAAATAATGAGAGCCACCTCCCTACTGCAAAAGGAAAATGCACCCGCTCCGACTACAGCTCGCTCCCCTCCCGCTTGGACTCTTCCTATCCGAGCCAAGCGCTCTCGTGCTGCGCATGCGCCTTGCGTCTGTCTAGGACCAGCGCGTGGTGGCAGCGCCCCACCCATCCCTGCAGCGTCAGCCTGCGGCGCTAGGGGGCGCACCACTAAACCCTAGTCCAGTGATCGGCAAACTCATTAGTCAACAGAGCCAAATATCAACAGTACAATTGAAATTTCTTTTGAGAGCCAAAATTTTTTTTTTAACTTAAGCTATATAGGTAGGTGCATTATTATTAACTTAATTAGGGTACTCCTCAACTGGCCTTTGCTAAAAAACGCAAGGGGCCAAAGAGTGAGCCGCAGGTTGCTGACCACTGCGGGCCTGGTCTAAGGGGTAGTGACAGGGCAGCTGCCCATCCGAAAGCCCTAATTAACCCAGTGCCTGATCATGATAGATGCACAATAAATATTTGAAGCGAGAATAAAATAACCTGGTATGCGGATGCACCATTTGTCAATAATGGAGAAAACCTGCACGCGAGCTGATGAGATTGAGTTAGAGTAGTAATCATAGAGATCGAGAGGGAGGCACAGGTTTAAAAAGATACTGTTTTAAGGGGGCATCCTTTTGATGAGCAGGAATTGTCAATGGTAACTCCAGAGATTTGACCTGGCGTGAGTGCATATTACTATTATGCACCCAATAGAGGGCATCCAGGGAGAGAAATAGAGAGTGAGAAAAAGATTATTATGCCGAGTTTGCCTTTCTTGGGAAACTTCCAACTCTCCCACTCATGTTTTTTCTAGTCCCTGTTTTTTGACCTCTAAGGAATTTCCAATCCATGACTCCTCTTTTTTCTTATCTGCTAGATAACTTGCTGCTATCCCCACCCAACTGTGATTCGGTAAATCTGAAATATCCAGCACACACGATGGGCAGCTGGGGTTTCATCATACTTGAGTTTCGTGGTCAGGCTCTCAGTGGCATACCAGGGCTCTTTTACAAATGACTTGCTGTCAGAGGTATGGACTTGTTCCAGATCCTGAGTTTCTGCACCATGACTCTCCTATTAGGGCTTACCTAAGACTCCATACGGCATCCTTAACTCCCATGGACATCTCAAGCACCATTGGATCTGCTGAGACATAGAGCCAAGTAGCAAGGCAGCTGGCATTTAAGCTTAGACTTGCGATACTGCACTCAGGGACCCACTTAAACTGACAGTTGCCTGTGTTTCCCAATAAAAGTTTTACAGCTGTATTCCCAGGTGTGGCATATGCTGCCTCCAAAAGCCAAAAAGCCCCACCAAGTGCTCCGCCTCTTCCCAATGAATAGAAAATAAAATGTGCAATAACGTTTTCTTCACCTTAGAAAGTTGTCCCAGGATGCCCAGACTTTTGGACCCATAAAAACTTTATTAGCCCTAGCCAGTTTGGCTCAGTGTATAGGGCATCGACCTATGGACCCAAGGGTCCTGGGTTCGATTCTGGTCAAGAGCATGTACCTTGGTTGCAGGCTCCTCCCTGGCCCAGGCCCTGGTCTGAGTGCGTGCAGGAGACAACTCGATGTGTTTCTCTCACATTGATATTTCTCTCTGTATTTCCCTCTCCCTTCCACTCTCTAAAAATCAATGGGAAAATATCCTTCAGTGAGGATTAAAAAAACAAAAAACCCCACAAACTTGATTATCCTGGCCAACATGGCTTAGTTGGTTGAATGTCATCCTGTGCAAGGGAAAAGTTGCCAGTTTGATTCCTGGTCAGGACACATACCTGGGTTGTGGGTTCAATCCCTGAACAGGGCACATAGGAAAGGAAACCATGTTTCTCTCCCACATCAATTTTCCTCTCTCTCTCTCCATCTTCTGCTCTCTAATCATGTCCTTGGGTGAGGAATAGAAAAATAAATTTTATAAAACTTTATTAATGTAGTAGGCCCCTAATCTTTGTAGGATTTAACTGTCCCCCTCTGCCATGGGTGTACCTACAATCATATCGAGAGCAGTACTTCTGAAATCTGAATGTGCATACAAACATCTGGGGTATCAGAAATGCAAATTTGATTCAATAAGTCTGCGATGGGGCCCAAGATTCTATATTATTGGCCCCCATTTTTACCCTTCCTTTATCCACATCTTTTGCCATATTATTAAGTTTTTTCCACTAAGGGGAAAGTAGTGTTCATCCTCAATATTCATGAATCCTCCTTTTTGAATTGGCTTACTTGCTAACATTTACTTGTTAATAATTCAATAACCCCCAGATCAATACTCTTGTCACTTTCACAGTCATTTGCAGACATAGGTGGAAGAATGGCAAAAAAAACTCAAGCTCCCAGCTGAAGTCTCATATTGGAAACAAGTGTTCATTTTGTGGTCTGTTTTGTGCCACAATCTTTTGCCTTTTTAAATGTATATTTGTATTGATTTCAGAGAGGAAGGGAGAGGGAGAGAGATAGAAACATCAATGATGGGGGAGAATCATTGATCAGCTACCTCCTGCATGCCCCCTACTGGGGATCAAGCCCACAATCCAGGCATTTGCCCTGACCAGGAATCGAACCTTGACCTACATAGGTTGATGCTCAACCACTGAGCACAGGCAGGGCACATTTTTTTGCATTTTTGTTGGTGATTTCACTGTGTACATGTATGACCTAAAGATATAGTAATTGAGGTGTCTTTAAACAGAAACACACATAAACAAGGTTGTGTATTGACCTGTGGATGAAAATGTGACCAGAGTCTCACAGAAACCTAATCTGTATAACCCTTGGGAGCAATGGTTTAGTCTTTACTAATTCAGTGTATATGGTGACTTTATAGACCATAAATACCACATATATACAGACTCTGCTGTATATTTCCCCACTGAATTCTACCACATGACTTGTTTTGGTCAATAAAATAGGAGATAAATAATGGTGTGTCAGTTCCACATCTGAGCTGTAACGAGCTTGTGTTTCTGCTTGCTGACTTGCACCTCCTCCATAGCCTTGAAGAACGTGCTTAGTTGGCTAGCCAGCTGGTCCCAGGAGCAGAGGGAGAGACACCTGAGCCCAGTCTAGTCAGGCCAACCCACCACTAGCCCCCCAGACATGTAAGCTAAATAAATGTTTGTTTGTAGCATGACATTGGGGATTTGTGGACATTTTAGTTTTTATATTTTTACATAGCAAAAGCTAATTGCTATACCTGCCAGGAATTTGAATAGTCAAATTAAAATGAATACCCAGCTAATTGATAGAACTGTCCCACCTCCAAACCCCACCAGAAAACCCCAGCCTGCAACACGCTGTGACTGTGCGGGGGGGATAGCGCCTCAGCTGAGACTCAGAAAGGAGCCCCCCAAATTCTACTAACCAAATACAAATGTGTGGTTTTACCTCCGAATTCTTTGAAAAATGTGTACGTTAATGCAACTTTAATTTGTTAATTAACTGTTTCATTATTTTAATTAAATGAGATGTTATTTTAGCAATGAAAATGATATTCAGACTTGATTCAGGTGTTACACTTAATAGAAACCTTGACATCTCTCATATATTTGTTTGATCCCTACCACAGTCTGTGAAGTGGGCAGGAAAGGAGATACAGTTGACGCCATATTACAAACAAGGAAAGGGTGGCTTGGGAAGGTTAAGCTGTTTCCCAAGGTTGTAGAGTGATTTCAGCCTAGATTTCCTGCAGCCATATTTGGATTCTTTTCAAAGCAGGAAAGAAGCCAGAAGAGCAGCATGATGTTCACAAACCAGGGAATGGAACTCAGAAAGCTGGGGGTTGGAGAAGGCTAAAAAGGAAATAAGCTATCAATTATTCTAGGGACAAATCTGCCTCTATATGGGTCAAGAGTTGAAAGATTTTGCCCAACTGGTGCGGCTCTGTGGTTGAGCCTTGACCCATGAACCAAGAGGTCACCAGTTCTATTCCTCACTAGGGCACATGCCAAGGTTGTGGATTTGATCCCCAGTGGGGGGACATGCAGGATGCAGCCAATTGATGTTTCTATCTCTATCCCTCTCCCTTCCTTTCTCTCTAAAATCAATTTTAAAAAAAAAAACATTTTAAAAAGAAAAAGAGCAGCATTTGCTCTAAAAAATTTTTTTTTAAGAGTTGAAACTTGCTTATATCTATGATAATGACTTTATTTTTATTTATTTTCCAGAGGCCTGAAGCATGGATTCCTGCACCGGTGGGGTCCCTCAGTCTGGCCTGCAGGTATCGGGCCAAAATCGGCAGTCCAACATCCCCCAGGGATGTAGTAGTGCACAAAGTGGCAGGTGATGGGGATGAGCCCAAGCCCCGCCAGGCACTGCGCTGCTCCCACTCATCCTGGCCCTGCTGTGCCTTCCCCCTCCACTGCTAGGCAGTGCTGCCAGGGAGGTGGGAGAGGTTGGCACAGCAGCTGCACTTGCCAGCTGTGAGCCCAGCGTCTGGTGCTCCTCTGTCAGATGAGTAGCACTCATTCTGTGGGAGGCACTGACTACTAGGGGGCAGCTCCTGCAGAGAGAGTCTACTCCCTGGTGGTCAGTGTGTATCACAGCGAGCGATCAAACAGTCAACTGATCATTTAGGGATGGATATATATATTGCTACTTTAACAAAGTGAAAAGTCTATAGTTGCAACAGCAGTGTCTGAATTGCTCTTAGGAAGGAATTGTCTATATAGAAAGATTCCATTGATGAGCCACTTGATTGGAGATTGAGACCTTAGGACACCAGAGTCAGCAGAACACCCAACAA